ACAGGAAGTCAAAAATAGGGTGACCTTGATCAGACCATAGTAAGTTTTGAAGACAATTGAATAGTTAGTGAATTAAATTGGATGGCAGACAAAACATTGAAAGCGGAGACAATTTTGTGAGGACAGTTGTAAGAGGACAATTTTATAAAAAAGGAAGGAATAAATGATATAGTGGCTCAAGTTTATGTGGGATCAAGGTAAGTATTCTTGATTTTGTCAAAGTTAATGGTAGTAGAGTATATTTATATGCTTTAGGAATAATATGTACAGAGGAGTATTTACAGAGAGTGAGGATATTGGCAGAAATCACTCTGCCAATTGAGAAAGTGAGAGGAGATAGGATCCAGAGCACAAATGGAGGGTTTACTTTCTATAGAAACCAAAATACAACAGCCTTGTTTGGGTTATGCCCTAGGATAGCTGAAGATATTCTTAGTAGCAGCAATTAATTTCAAAGTATCCTTTTCATGATATATTAGATGTGTCCCCATCAGAAAACCCAAGATGAAAATGCCCAGATGGGCTGCTTCCTCTGGCAGCAGCAACATGCCTTCAGCATAGTCCCGAGAGTCAGGAAAGATATTTCTGAAAAAGTCTCAAGAACCCCTTTGACTCTAGCACCTAAACACTCTTGGAAGATATCGGTCACTGGGAAAACTATGTGATATACAACCCTGCCAAGATAATTAAATGGAGATAGGGGATAACAGTACTCACATGCAAACAATGAAGTTCTCAACTTTACACAGAAAAATTATTGAAAAATGGATCACAGACATAATGTAAGAAAACTGTACAACTTTTCAAAGAGAGCATAGGTGTAAATTATGACCTTGGATTAGGCAATAGTTTATCTATAATAGTAAAAACTCAAATGACAAAAGAAAAATTAGATAGGTTGGATTTATTCAAAATTGACTTGTCCTTCAAAGAATACCATTAAGAAAGTTAATCTATAGATGAGGTATTTGTAGTGCTTTTTTTGTTTTTAACCTCTTTAATGTGTAAAAGTGCAATAAAAATAGTGATCGGAGTTGCAATTTTTAATACATTCTTGGAATGTTGGCCTCTCAACAGTCTGTCTCTGACTCAAATACAGGCTTAAATTTGGGAAAGCTCTCATGGCATGGAATTATGTTAGCAGATTTATCATGAAAATTGGAGAGAATATAATTGTAAATCATATTGATAAGGGAATTGCATGTAGAAGATGGAAAGAATTCTTACAACTCAGCAATAAAAAAGTAACTCAGTGTTTAAAAATGGGTAAAGGAGTTACACAGACATACTTGCATTTGCAGAGACAAAGAAGATACATAAATGGTCAAAATCATGTGAAAAAGCACCATTACCCAGAAATACTTTAAAATAGCACTTCATACCCACTAGAATAGCTGAAATCAAGATAACAGACAATAACAAGTGTTGACAAAGATGTAGAAAATAGAAGTCTTCATACATTGCTGGTCAGAAAGTAAAATGATGTGCCTGCTTTGGAAAACAGTTTGGCAATTCTTCAAAATGTTTAATGTGGAACTAGTGGCTCTACTTCTACATATATAGCTGAGAGAATCGAAAACAAACATCTGTACAAGAGCTTGTACAGTGTTCATAGTGGTATGTTCAAACTAGTCCAAACTTGAGAACATCCTAGGTGCCCACCAATTGATGGTTGAATCAATAAAATGTGGTATATTTATACAATAGAACATTATTACTCATCTATAAAAACGAATGAAATTCTGACACGTGCTGCTACATTGGACAGATTTTTTTCTGAATAGAAGAAACCAAGCTCAATGGCCACATATTGTATGATTCCATTTGTATAAAATGTGTGGAATAGGTAAATACATAGGGACAGGAAATAGATTACTGATTTCCAAGGTCTAGGGGAAGGAGAGAATATAGAAAGTGGTTGTTGAGGGCCGGGGATTTAGCTCAGCAGCATAAGCGCCTGCCTGGCAAGCACATGGTCATGATCCCCGATACCAAAAAAAAAGAAAGTGATTGGTAATGGGTATTTTTGTGATAATGAAAATTTTCATTTTCTTTTTGTGATTCATTTTCAGTTTCTTCTTGTGATAATGAAAATTTTCTAGAATTAGATAGCATAATGGATATACACTTCTGTGAATACTATTAACTGTATACTTTAAAAGGTTGAACTTTGCGTTGTATGAATTGTATCTTAAGGCAGTAACTAGATAGTAAAATGACTTCTGTTTTTAAAAAGGTATTATTTTTCATGTGCTATGAATAACAAAAGTATAATGGAAAGAATAAATTCATGATATATAAGAAATTTTGAGGAGAAAGAAATTAGGGACAGATAGCAGTACATAGTATGAAATTACACAACTAAGAGTATGAAACCATCATTGAGACAGAACAAAAAATGTGAAGTCTAGAAAGAGACGTAAGCATGCATTTTAGGAAAGTAATATGTAGGATAGTAAAAATAGTGCTCCTTGCCAGTGGGGAAAATGCGATTACCTATGAAATGTTGATGTTCAGCACCTACCTGACTTGATCAGCTGTTATTTTAAGTTGAACATATCAGAAGTTAATCTTGGCAAGTTTCAGCAGAAGAGGAATTTTCAGGAAGGAGATTGAATACTTCAGAGTCGATAGGGAGCCAACCTCAGAAGATGAAGGATGCTAAGGAGCTGGGAGCATAACTTCTGTTGTGCCACAGGAATAGTATGGCGAGGGTGTTCCCACTTTGCTGTTGCTGCTTGGGACTGGAGTGCCATTACTGCTGCCGTGACTAAGCCCTGTATTTCCGTACCTCTGTCACTCCTGCCATTTCAAGACCTGGGCAGGAATATCTGAGGCAGAACTCTTGTCATAGGCTTGCAGCCTTATTGGTCGAGTTGCTAGGGAGGCCTGCACACCTTCAGCTGCTGTGGTGGGAGGTAAAGCCCTGTAGCATCTCCTTAGATAGGAAGGTGTCCAAATGGAGGGAAGCCAAAAACGACAGATTTCTACTAACATTTGGAATGACTAAAATTAGAACCATACTTCATATCATAAACCAAAATAAATTCCACATGGATTCAGACTTTAAATGTAAAACTTGAGATCATAAAAGTACTTAAAGAAACTACATTTGAATATTGATGCAGTCTTGGTTTAGAAAAATTGCTAAGTATCAGAAGGTTATTAAAAATATTGATGGATTATGCTCTATACACATATACTGGTCAAAAATATGACCCAGAAAGGGACTCATGATTAAAGACAAAAATATACATAGAAATAAAATATAATATTTTTATTTTTACCTTTTTAAGAAAAAATATATCCCTCAAAAAGGAAAGGATTAAAATGACATAATTAGTGGTTATCTCTTGGATAAGACACTAAAGGTGATTCTTTTCCTTTGTTTGCTGTCTAAAAGCAAGGTGTTTTTTTCCCAAAAGTTATTTCTTTTTAAATGAAAGTGATTTAGTTGGTTTATGAGTAGTATCTGGGTCTCCATGAGTAAATTTTATGCTAAACTCTGCAAAAGTGAAAATAAATTTACCGAGCAGGTGATGAGACAATGCGGTGTTTAATGTTAAGGTAGCTATTGGAATTTACTACATCTGTGACGCTTCGGAAAGAACTAAATGACTGATGACTAAGAATGTCCCCCATATTGTGATATTTCTTTTAAGTACACACCCCTGCCCCCTGTGTTTTTGGTTTTGGCTCGATATATTTTGTCTTGTTTTTAAGAGAACCCATCTTGAGGAACTCACTAGCTAGTGCTAGGGTATTGGCTTTTAAGTGGAAGCCAGATGTGGATCTGAAGATTTTATGATGGTCTACATTTCCTCACTTTCTGCCCTTTCCTTCAAAATATGAGTTCACTCAATATTTTCTGTTCTACAACCCTTAATCCCCGGGTTGTGTTCCTTCCTAGCTGGAGTAACTGCCTCAGTAAAGGATGTTCACATCTATTGGTATAAGAAACAGAGGGGACCCTTCCCATCTAACGATAACTGTGGAAGGAAAGGCTCCTCATGGACGCCTTAATGCTAAAGCATGAGGGAGTTCCTTCGTGCTCCAGAAAAACTAATCATTGCACATTCTAGAAACAGACTAAGAGATCCGAAGACAGCAAACAATTTAGAATGGCTGCTGGTTTCCATTCTTACCACTCAGTTTTTCTTGTTGGAAAAAAAAAAAAAATTCAGGCTTTGAATTTCTTTTACTAAACACCATGATTTTCATGAAATTGTTATGTCCTAAGATTTCTTCAGATGGGGGAAAACACTGTCCTATGACCATTTCCTTATGAGCATTTCTGTTGTGTTTCTCAGTCATGAACAGCTTGACTCTGAAGCTCAGTAAGTGTTGCAGTGTCCCTGTCTTCACCCTTCTTGTTAATATGGAGACCCCATTGTTCCAGACCACAGTTACATTGGTATGCAACTGTGTGTGTATTAGATAGCTTAGTGATGCAGTTTTTACCTGCTATTTTGCAATATGGATAAAGAATGTCTTGAGCATATGTACATATTTTTTGAGCTCTGCATTTCATGTGAACTTTTATAGCTCATGTTTATAGTTCTCTTCTTTTTCTTCAATGTATTTCTGTTGACAATCGGGTGCAGTTATGATAGTATCTAGAAAACAGGAGGGGAAAAGCCATGTTCCTTTTCTCTGCTATTATCCTTACCTTGATCTTCTTGGCATCAGCAAATGAGCTTCTGCTAAGAAGCTGGTCAGTGATAGAACCTGGTGATACTGTGATGTGTGCTGTGCAGTCCACAGTGGCCACCACTGAGGAAAAGATAAGTGCTGTTTCGGTGAGACAGGGTCCCTTCCCTGCCGCACATAGCTGTGGTGGATAAGGAGGTGACTGTGCAGTGTTTGCAGGGCTGCACACCATCAGGCAGGCTCTGCTGTGAATGACAGTGCCTGTAAACATGATCGCTTTCCTGCCTAGCAATCCTTAGTCACGTCTGGATTGAGCAAGACTCACATAATTGCTCTTCTTGTCTTTCTAGGAGCAGCCTATTGCCAGTTCATGGACATGCTCTTTCCAGGCTGCATTAGTTTGAAGAAAGTAAAATTTCAAGCAAAATTGGAGCATGAGTATATTCACAATTTTAAACTTCTGCAAGCATCATTTAAGCGAATGAACGTCGATAAGGTGAGAAACGCATTTGTACCTCTATAAAATGCATTCTTTCATTAAAGTTGTTTTCAAATTGAATGCAAAAACCTAGGAACAAAAAAAGAACCCACCTAAACATATCAGCAGGGTATTTGTTGGTATCTCAACAATTTGGGGTCCATGCATATCATAAAGCATCAACCCTATTTTCCATATTTGGATGAGTTTTTATTTCAAAAGATTATCTAAACTTACAGCCATTAAACTAAAAACTATAATAGGAATCACAAATGTTAAAATTTTGTCGTTCATTGCAGATGAGAAATTTTTATGTTTTCCAGATTCCTCTATAATTCTTTGTGTATTTTGTTTCTTTAAAAAAATGCCACATTATCGTGGAAATAGAAAATAAGGGAACACATGTAAAAGTGCCCAGCATATTCTCACTATCCATACATTACCCTTTTTTCCTCCCTTTAAATTATTATAATTTTGTCCAGAGTGATACAAATGGAGTTAGGTATTATAGTCCTTTTTTCCTCTATGAAGAACTGTTTGTTAAATCCATTCAGTCTCTTTCTGTATGTTTACTTCTATTACAATACATTTAATTCATATTTCTCATTCATAATATTTCTCTTAGAATGATTAAACTTAGAAAGAAATGATTTTTTGTTTTGTTTTGTTTTATTTTTTGAGACAAGGTCTCGCTACATAGCCCAGGCTGGCCTCAAACTCACAGCAATCCTCCTGTGTCAGCCTCATAAGTGCTGGGATTATAACCACTATACCTGGCTAAGAAATGAATTTTTTATTTGAATAAGTAGTAGAGATAAATAGTTATGGCAATAGAAAATAAACACTGGATTATAGGAGAGAGATTAAGTTTAAGAGTTTGATTAATTATATATTTTTAAAATTTAATACAAGTAATGTCTCCTTAAGCAAAAACATTCCTTTCAAACTATTAAAAAAATCACACTTCTCATTTTCTCACAATTTTTATTGCAAAATACACATTATTTTCAACATTTTAACTTTCTAGATTGTTTTTAACTTACTTTATGTCTTTTTTTCCCTGTGGCTAACTTCCCATTAGACCTCCTGTATATTTTCAGAAGCAAAGCTGTGTATAGGTTCTCCTTGCTTTTTAGTAAGTTAACAGTTCTACTTGTGTCTTTTTTGTTCATTTTTCTATTCCTAGTTCTACAATAGGGAAAAACACATATCCAAGATTTATTAATGGAATTTGCTACATATCAAATTAATGGGCTCCATATTTTAGAAGTGAGTACATAGAGAATGGATGAAGCTGTTAATGTTGAAGAAAGTCCTTGCAGTGGCCTGGCTTTGATGGCCTTTGTCAGCCTCTGTTGCTTTCCTAATCCATGTTTGCACCCAGAGGTCCTAGAGAGGCAGAGTTACATGTCCATTATGTCTGTCATAGCCCAACAGTATCTCAGAAGGTTTTGTGCAAAGTTTTGCTTTCTGCTCAAATTTTGAACTTATGCCCTTGAAACTTTTACTTTGACAGAATGCAAGATTAAGTCAACATAAGTAAGAACCTTATTTTAACTGGAAAGGTACCACTGTCATCTAAAACTAGAACTTCTCACAGCTGACAGTAGACAAGGTACAATAATATATGATCAAGGGCTATATTCTCCAAGAGATCATTTTCTAATAACACATTAGCACACAAAAGTTTAAAACTCTGAAGACATAAAAGTAACCAGTACAGTGAAAAATTAGTTAACTGTATGTGTAGCAGGAATTCTTCCCCATGAGAGTTAAAAGGAAGTGAGAGGAGGGAAATATCAGCACCGAAGTGTCGAGTATCAGAAGAGTGTTCACAAAAAATGTGTTCTCTAACAGTTCGCTTCTATTTATTTTGCCCTGCACTTGTTCAGTTTCTATTTCAGCTGTAAAGAAAGCACTTCTGCGAATTTCATTACTAATGATTTAGTTTAATGGATGACCGAAAATGCATCAATCACTGTTTCCTTGCACACTGTCATTGATATTTAAGGCCTCTCAGTATTTTTTAATGTCCTTGTGATACATTTTAGAATATGGATGGCAAATAGCTCCTGAGAAGACAAAGCCTTGCTGAAAGTTTCATTTGTATAGTTTCCATTCATACTGTTACCCCGTGAAGCCACATGATTTGAGCCCTAGGTTCTGTCTGAATCATGTAAAGCACACACAGAGAATCCGATTCAGCCTTTTAGTTTTGTCACACTGTCCTGGTTACCATTCATCTAGTATCCCTGTACAGAGATATAGGAAGTAAAATCTGCTGCAAAGGTTCGATTTAGAGAGCCCAGTATCTTTCCACTGTCCTTAATGAATAGTGGACCACTGAATTAGAGCTAAGCAATCGAGTTCTACTTTTTCCTTGTTATAATTCTACAAATTCCTGTAAAGGCAGGGTAGGGAATATTGGTTGACTCTGTAGGTTGAGGCAGAAAAGGTTACAGCTTGAAGAGCTGAGCTTCCTGTCTCAGAAGCCGACATGGATGCTGTGTGCCTGTCCAGGGGCCTCCAGTGACTGCGCAGTCAGCCACCCCACATTCTGCTCTGCACTCTGGCGGTGTGTTCCCTGCGCTCCCCAGGAGCCCGTGGGGTACGGGGTCTGTATCGTTGGTGTTTTAGGTAGTGGTCCCTCTATGTTATAAGTGAGCTCAGGGAAAGCTCATTTTGTTTAAAACGAACCAGTAGATTGGTATCCATCTTTTACTTGAGTTTTTTCATTTGTACTCTACTAGCTGTATTCCTTTTAAGAGTTTATCCCATCGTCTTAAGTCATTTATAGGAAAATGTGGATGCACCTTGAAACCACAGTGTTAAGTGAAATAAATCAGACAAGTTTAAAGATTACACGGTTTGTCTTATGTGAGAAGCCCAAGTTACAAACAAAAAGCAAGATAAAAGGTAAATAATAGGAAACAGGGAGATAGATTTTTTGCAGTAAGGAAGGGGAACAAAATAAAAGAAGAGACAAAGGTAGAAGGGAGAAGAGAATTAAGGTGTGTTATGTACATGTGTAAACTTACCATAATGAATATACACACAACTAATTTTTTAAAAAGTGTACCATACAACTGGACAAAATGTTACAAAGAAAAATAGGAATGTTCCTCAGTTTTGAAACAGCACAGCATCCCATGTCCATGTTTTTGTAGAGCAGTTCCTTGACAAGTTCCTATAAGGGGAGTCTAGCCCCTCTTGACAGCCAAGGTTATTCCTTGTCTAGTTTGCTCAGAAGTATTAAATATTACAGGAGAACCATGTTTGGATAAGATCTTCTTTAATATGATGAAAAATTATGTTACTTGTACAGCTGGCTAACTAAGCAACTGGTGAGAGAGCAGTGTTTGTGAATTGCAGTGAGTAGGAAATACTCATATTTAGGGAGCACTTCAGTTGTATTTGAGACTCACCTAGTGATTTTATGTCCTAGGTAATTCCAGTGGAGAAGCTAGTGAAAGGGCGTTTCCAGGACAACCTGGATTTTATTCAGTGGTTTAAGAAATTCTACGATGCAAACTACGACGGGAAGGAGTATGACCCGGTTGAGGCTCGACAAGGCCAAGATGCAATTCCTCCGCCTGACCCCGGCGAACAGATCTTCAACCTGCCCAAGAAGTCACACCACGCAAACTCCCCCACTGCAGGTACTGTCACGGTGAAGTTGTAGAGTCACTCAGAACACTGCTCAGATCCTCCTGTGCATCACCCTGTGTTTCTTGAAGAAAGATTCTATGAAGAATCACCCTGAGTGATTCTTCATAGCAGTCGTATTTTAGGAACTTGGGTGGTTTTTTATTGTGTCTGTCTGGCCACAGTTATCTTTCTGTGATCAATTTGTCATAAATATGACAGTCTCGATTTAAGCTATTAAAAGGCAGAGATAGGTATGTTATGTCATTGGAGCTGGGTGTTAAAATAATACTCCAGGAATAGATTTATTTTTCTTTTTTTTTTTTTGCAGAGAAATTTCAAGTAACCTCTTGATTTTATTTATTTTTTATTTTTTGCTACCAGGGATTGAACTCATGACTTTGTGCTTGTAAGGCAGGCGCTTATATATCATTAAGCTAAATCCCCAGTCAGTCTCTTGATTTTAACCAGAGTATTTTTACTGCCTAATTGCTGGCAGTTTAGACCATAACATGAACTGAAATATGTTATTACATAAGTATCATCTGTAACCCTTCACAGGAAACAGTACATCTCCCATCTGTAGAGATGGTGCCAATATTTATGTGATAACTGTAAAAACCTCATTTATTTACCCCCTTCCAAAAGTGAGTCATTGAGGGTAAATACCTGAAACTTTAAAATATTTTATACTCTTCTGTATAAAAACCTTTCTAAACTATAAACATCTTCCCATAAAAAGGCTTCATCAAGCAAAATGTGTGCTTGTAAAATTAGATCATTATAGTAAATACCCGTTGAGTTTTAGACATTGAAATAGTGATATCCTCAGAAACCATTTGTGGAACCCATTGTTCAGACTTGTAATATAAGTAACTTATACTTATGTTGCCCAACCTTCAATCAGAATACATTAGAAATGGTTAACAATACTTATACAGTAATAGCTTTGTAATTATACTTTTCCTCATTGTTAAAACTCTTTTTAACTCTTATTTTGGAATTTATGGCTGTATTCAAGGTAAACCAAGACTATGGCAATTTGGTATTTAAAAAAAAAAAAAAAAATATATATATATATATATATATGTGCCTATATATATGAAATATGCATATTTAGTAGGATTTTAGATGAATTCTGATTCATCCGAATTAAGACAGGTAACATGAAAGAAGAGGAATAGACTACACTGGAAGACATTTAGGGAATAAAATAGATTGAATGCTAGTAATGAATGGATACTGGATAAAAGAGAAGGGAGGCATCGAGCATGACTCTTTTTCTTTGGCTTGATTTGTCTCACACACCTGGAAGGAGGAGGGTATTATTCAGGAAATACTGTTAGACCGGTGTCGCGAGGAAGACTCCAAGGGCCTCGCTCTCATGTAAAAACAATGGGGTTTTTATTATTCCGTGTACACGGGGTCCTCCAAACAGGTGGAAACGGAGAACCCTGAGTTGGGGCAAGGCTGGTGTTTTTAAGGATGAAAACCGCAAAGCAAGCAAGCATTGTTACAGAAGCCAATCATAGCAGTTAGAGCAGAACAGTTGGTGATTTGTCCATTTGTGATTGGTCAGATCATGAGGGGCGACCAGTGGGTCAGAGTTGATTAACTGTCTTGTTTTGCACAGCTTATTTTTAGGTCACCTAGCTCCTGTGTGGCTTGGTTCTGACATACTTCCCAATCTTGATTAGCATAGTCAGCAGACTTTATCTCTGAGTTTCCTGACATAATTACCTTACTTTAGCACCACAACCTTTCTATTTGTAGAGGGCAACAATGGTTAACATATCAATTGGGTAAGATTTTACAATTCTTTACAGAAGAGAGCATTGATTAACATATCAATCTTTTACCCAGGGAAAAAGGAAGACACACATTTACAGTTACAGGTATTACTATGATATAAACGAAGCTATTTCTGTGAAGAATGTACAATCTAATACAATCTGATGCAATTAACACAATTTGTGACGGGGCTACCAGATAGGGAAGACCCAGGATGTCAGGAGCTAGTACCTCAGGCCTTTGTTTTATGGCCTTTAGGAAGTTAAAACTTAACCTAGTTGGATTTGAAGGGAGAAGGGGAGGGGAAGCAGCAGATGGAACGAGCTTTCTTCATCTCTTCATTCCCCCCCCCTTTTTTTTTTTTTTGGATGACCTCTAATCTTAGAGGCTTGTTGTAGTTAGGGGTTCATATTGGTGACGTATGACCATTAATTTGACCTGAGAGACTTGTCCCCTTATGAATTGGGTAATCCAGTTAATGAGGCAAGGGACAATGGCTAGGATTAGGATTAAGGTCACTAATGGTCTTATTAAGGGAAGGAGATAGGGGAGAATTCCGTTTTATATTTTTTAAAGGGGGCTCCCATACAAAGATCTTTAACAATTGTTTTTTTTTGCTTACAGGGGGACCAAAGCCGCCATGTAAGGTCGGCATTAATGTTATTAAAATCAAAACAAGCAAGCTAAAACAGTTCATGACCAGCATAATCTAACTATGCTTTAGTCAATTTTTAACTTTAAGGGTTACCAGTCTGTTGTGTAGTCCACTGAGTATGTCCCTCGTTGTCTGCTGTTTTCAGTGGCTTTACATGAGTGTAGTGAATCCGCGCAGTTTTTCCTGCTACCTTGATGGCAGTGGGGGTACTGAGCACCACGGTGAAAGGTCTTTCCCAGTGGGGTTCGAGGGAGTCATGGTGATGACATCGAACCAAGACTGGAGTCCTTGAGGCCTTGGTCTTTGAAGGCAGGTCCAAGTGTTTTTGTCTAAACAGCTGGTGGATCCAGGCCAACACAGGTTGGAGTGTCTGCAGGGACTTAAGATCTCAATTAGTAGTTTTAGCTAATTTGTCTTCTGACAATCTTGGAACCAATGGCGGGGGCCTCCCAAACATGGCTTTAAAGGGGGAAATTTTGGAAACATATGGGGTATATCTAGCTCTTAACAGTGCAAAGGGAAGAAGGCTCATCCAATTATCGCCAGTTTTTGAAGACAGCTTAGCTAAAATGTCCTTGAGACTTTGGTTCATACGTTTTACTTGTCCTGAGCTTTGTGGCTGATAGGCACAGTGGAGTTTTAATTAATCTTTAATGCCTGGGCTAACTTTTGGGTGACTCGGGCTATGAAAGCCAGGCCATTATCGGACCCCATTGATAGTGGGAGGCCAAATCAAGGTAAGATCTCATGTAATAGCCTTTTAACTACCACTAAGGCTGACTCAGATTTAGTAGGGAAAGCCTCTACCCAGCCAGTAAAAGTGTTTATTAATACCAAGAGATAGCGGTGTCCCTGTAAATTAAGTTTTACCATGTCTATGAAGTTTATTTCCCAATGTTCTCCTGGAACAATTTCTTGATGTTGGGTGGTCTCCAACGCAGAGCTCTTGGCTGAGTTGACTAACAAACACTGTGGGCATCTGGAGCTCGAAGAGGTGGTCAGTTTGTAGAGTTTTGGAATAAAATACTGAGTTCTGAACAATTCTGCAAGGTGAAACAGCTCCCACCCTAGTGCCTCTAGTAACAGTACTTGTTTATCAGGTAACTGGTATTAGCCCCTTGGGGTGGGAGACTTTATTCCAAGTTGAGATGCCAACTGTAGGTCTTTCTTTGTGTAGACTAGTTCTGACAAGGTCAGAGGACTAGTATCAGAGCAGTTACTTTTTTGGTTGACCCCTCTGATGTGGTTGCTATTTTTCATCTCTGGTTGGGTGAGCCTTGTGAGGAATAGCAACCCATTGAGGCAGCCAGACAGCTGCCAGCAAATCTAGAATCTGTGGAGCATTTTTAGATGGCTTCCCCGTATATGTACAGTAGCAAAGGGATGTCTTCAGTAAAAAAAAATGTTTACCCTCTTTTCCGTGGCTAGTTTTAGCCTCTCAGTCAAAGCAACAAGCTCCGCCTTTTGGGCAGAAGTGCCAGACTCTACCCGCTTAACCCAGAGTACCTCCTTTTCGGCGGTCACTGTTGCCCCAGCCACTCGTTTGCCGTTTTGGATGAAGCTGCTTTCATCGAACAGTTGTCGGCATTTCCCAAAAGCTGGTCAGTAAGATCAGCCTGTAGGTTCTGCTGCAGTTCGAGGATGTCAGCGCACTCATGGAGAGAGGTGTCCTTTGTTCCTCCGGATCATCATCAGGCATAAGGGTGGCTGGGTTTAAAGCTGAAGAAGTCTTGAATATCATTAACTCTGGGTCTAGAAGCAGGGCTTGACAGTAGAATTCTGGCATTTGAGAGCCTTTTTTTAGGAGGGGTTTTGATAAGAGTCTCTAAACTGTGAGAGGTTACCACAGAAATCACTTGCCCAAAGCGAGTTTTTTTGTCTCCTTAAGTAACATTGTCACAGTAGCTAGTATTCTTAGGCAGGGGGCCATACTCCTGTTACTGGATCAAGTCTTTTGGAGAGGTAGGCTATAGGCCTTTTTCAAGGGCCAATGTCCTGAGTTAGGACTCTTTTGGCAATGTCCCTGAGTTTATCTATGAACAAGATGAAAGGCTTGGTAACGTCAGGGAGTCCCAGGGCTGGGGCCTCTGTCAAGGCCCGCTTGAGCTGTTGGAAGGCCTGTTTACATTTATCAGTCCAGTTCAGCGAATTTTGAGTTTCTCCCTTATGGGAGTCAGTCATATAGAGGCAAGCTTTTCAGTAAAATTTAGCCTACAGTATCCAACTGCCCCCAGAAACTCTCGTCTGTTTTTTAAAAGTTTTTTTTCTCATAGAGCAATTTTAACATCTTGGCTATCTTTTTGTAAATTTTTTAGTTCTCAAAGACCTTTTTGTGCTATCTCTATTAACTGGCTGAGGGGCATTTTTTTAAACCTCTCAAACCTTTGTAATTTTTGTCTAACATGTGGGGCCGACTGAGTTACAAAGAGAACAACTGGCAATATTGGGAAACCTCCTTACCTCTGGACGTCCAGTCAGGGTGGCACAAAAGGAGAACATGGTTTTGGCATTCCGGATCAGAGAGCCGGCTTCATCTGGATGGCACACTGTTTTTTTGTCCAAGGGTGT